AGGCGCTTTATTCTCAAGGATTACTGCAAGACTGGGGAAGGGAGTGTTGCGATAGGGGCAGGGGGCAGTTGCATTAAGAGAATGCTCAGGTGAGCTGAGCGGCTACAAGATCTAGGAGCATCCTCATAGAGCTCAGAAGGAAGGGGCCTTTTATAGGAAGGAGTGAGCATGGCTGGAAAGAACCACATTCAGGGACCATCTCTGTGGTCAGCCTTTGGGGGAGGGGCGGTATGCTGGCTCTGGCCAAGGGTGAGTCCATGCTCAGGGTCTGGGGGGTAGGAGGGGAGCCTAACTGAGGCTTGGTGGAGTGACTTAACCCGCCTTCTGTTCAGATGGAGACTATGTACATCTTTTTAGAAGCTAACTTAGCCTCCTGCCAGTTTTTCAACCCTAGGTGTGTTTTTTTGTTTGTTCGTTTGGTTTTTTTTTTTTTTTTTTTTTTTGGGGGTGTGTTTTCCTTAAGAGCCTAGGAGGCATCTCTGAAACGTAAACCTCAAGGGACCTCAAGGGGGATTGTACCCTCTCTCCCTGTCTCAGTGGGAGTTTTAGCCCAGGCACCAGGCACCAGGCTCCAGTGGTAACTGCCTGCTTGCCGTGGGTTCTTTTTAGCCTTATTGACTTCTCCCTGTGAAAGAAAAGCTCCTTTCTGCCCCAGCTCTGAGAGGCTCGCAGATCTTAGGGTCTCACTGTAGACCTTACAGTACTGTCGTAGCCCCATCCCCCTGTGGCCATGGCCCCTCGCCATCTCTTGCAATAATCCTTTTGAACAAAGCCTCCCCTTACCTATGTCAGAATTTGTTCTTATTTGGCCGAGGGTATGGAAAACTTGCACGTTTTAAATTGGGGACCAGTTCTAAAGTCAGTGATGGCGTTCAATGTGTATGTAACAGCTCTGCTGGACACGCAAGAAAGTCAGGAGTATGCCAACTGGAAAGGTGCTCCACCCATCCTTAGGGAACCGTGCAAAGGAGAGGTTCTGCAGAATCCAAGCCAAGTGCCCCCAAAGTCACCCTTCCATGCATCCTCTCTTACCATCCACTGTGTGTATGTACGTGTGTGTCTGGGATCCAGGGCAATGTGAATTTTCTTTTTATTTGGGAGATTGTTCACAGAAAACAGATCCTCTTTTCTCTCGTCCACCTATTAATTGTTTACAGTATTTGTATATCTATGCAAAATACTTGAATGGGCTGTGGTGCCTTTTTTCCTTGTTTGTATTTAATTAAATTGTCATTTGAAATGTCTGGTTTGGCAACTCTTGTTTGTTTCTTTGTTTTAATGTTGCACTGGCCAGCCTGGATAGGATCCATCACCGAGGACTCCTCAGAAGAGTCCCTACAGAGATCGTCTGTCCAGCCTGTGAGGCCACCATGGAAGATCTTGAGCCATAGAAAAGCCCTGGGTTTTCCCATGACCAGTCGAGGGAGCTGTTTGTCTTTGCACCTGGACACAGGCCAGTCTAGTTTTAATAGGTCTGGGGGTCACTCAAGGCATGAATGATATAGATCGACCCTGAGGATTTGTGAGAGCTTAAAAGTATTCACGTGGGGCTCCCCTGGTGGCGCAGTGGTTGAGAGTCCGCCTGCCGATGCAGGGGACACGGGTTCATGCCCCGGTCTGGGAAGAGCCTACATGCCGCGGAGCGGCGGGGCCCGTGAGCCATGGCTGTTGAGCCTGCGCGTCCGGAGCCTGTGCTCCGCAACGGGAGAAGCCACAACAGTGAGAGGCCCGCGTACCGGAAAAAAAAAAAAAAAAAAAGTATTCACGTGAAGCTCTTAGCACTGTGGTTGGCTTCTTGCAAGGGCTCAGGCGTGGGATGGGTGTCTTCCACTGATGCTATTCCCCAAACAAACAGCCTTTCCCTCTCTAGTGAAGGCGTGGCTGTAGAAGGCACTGGAGGGACTTCCTTGGCAGCCAGAACTCTCCAGAGACTGGGGACTGGCCCCCCGGCACTAGAGGAACCAGTTTAATTGTTCCGTGTCCAAGGAAAGCCAAGATGTAAGTATCAAGTAAACACACTCAGAGGTCTTTATTCCTGACCCTGCAGACCACGCTCTCAGGGCCTTCAGATTACGGTCATTCTCAAGATCTAACATGTTGCATTGATTTTAGTTACAGAGAGAAATCCGCATTCATTAAAAACTGTGGCTTTGAGGCTGGCGGTGCAGGAAGCCAGTCTGTTCCTTGGAGCTCCAAGGCCAGCAACAGTTTGGCCTGGGCTTGGCTATGTTTAGGGCACAGGACGTAAACACAGGCACGGGTGTGGAGTTACACAGGGGAGGCTCTGCACCAGCTCAGGGGCTGAGGGCCAGGTCTTCCTTCTTTACAGATATACTGGCTCCCTTACCTCCCTGTCAATGGTCCTCATATCAGCTCTCACATTCTTGCTGCTGGAGAGAAGACAGGAAGGGAGGGGATATTAATTATGTCTCTCTCCAGCTGCTCTTGTTTTTTGACTGCCTCTGGTCAAATGTGAGGGGACCAAAGGCAGTCCCCAAAGCAGGTGGTGGTGGAGCAGTCGTGACACACTGATTCCCAGTGTGGGCAGCTCATCAGTGGAGCTGGGGACTTGGTGGCGAACTGGTCAACAGCCAGATTGCACCCCGTGCCGAGCTTACACCCCCCGACTTGGTCACTGAAGTCCACTGGCCAAGCCTCTAAGGCTTCAGCCCAGAAGTTACCCAGAGGGGACTTCCCTGGCGGTCCAGTGGTTCAGAGTCTGCACTTCCACTTCAGGGGGTGCGGGTTCAGTCCCTGGTCAGGGAACTAATAAGATCCCACACGCCGCGCAGCGTGTCCAAAAAAAAAAGTTACCCAGAGCCTTTTCCACCTGGGTTCTTGGTTCGCCACCAGAGTAAACACAAAAGTTAGCCCCTGGTTTCCAGAGAGCCTGTGTCTGCTTTCCTGACTGCCCCTCACCCTTCTCCCCATCTCCCCAAATCATATTTTGGTTTACTCCTTGAGGAAAAGGAAAGTGCATTCTGCTCGACAGCCAGGCTACTTTTAAGAGCAGTGCAATCGCTGTTCTCTTTGGAGAGTGAGGCAAAATGAAACGCTGGGCTTGGCCAGCAGAGCTTGGCTGGGAAGCAAGCACTTTTTGTTGTTGTCGTGTTGTTTTGAGTTCTTAGAGAACTGCCCGAATGTCTCCATGTCTCCATGACTGACTCCTTAGGATGTGTCTAGAGAGGGAAGGGTGGGGAAGGGGTCGGGTGGATGGAAACAGATGCTGACCTCCAGGCTGGCTGCTCCGGGAACGGGGCTGGTGGAAGTGTTTCCCTGAGACGTCAGGTGGCTTTCACAGTAAGCAGGTCAGCTGAGGTCTTGCCTCTGTCTCCGAAGATGAGGTGGCAAATGCAACAAGACATTTTACAACAATTGTGTGTCTGTTGGTTCTGGATGGGAGGCATGGCGAGTTGCTCTCTGGGCCTCGCAGGGCCAGCTGCAGTTCAGTCTTGGGCTCAGGAACGGTGAATCCATCTCAGGAGGAGAGCCAGTGCAAAGGATTTCCTGATGACCAACATTTCAGGGAAGTTCTTGGCTTGTGCTACATTCAGCGGATCAAATCCTATCTTCTTCCCAACAACACAGAGATGGTACCGAGGAAACAAGTAGGACGGGAGGTCCAGGGGACCTGCTGGCACCAATGTGTTGTAGGGTATTTAGTCACTGAGGCCGTGTTTCCAGGAGGTTCTGCCACCACTGCTCACTGGGTAGGGATTTTTCTCCCGGAAACAGCGGTGAGGTATAAATGAACGTCTCAAGAAAAGAGAGCCCACTGGTAAGAGTTGTGTTGAAAATAACCAGGTGGCTCTGAAATTGAGCAGTCAGGCTGTACCACAGGGCTCACCCTCTCACTCATGTATTCCAAGCTTTACGAATGGATTATAAATACTTTGGGCTTCTTTTCTGGTGATGGGGCACTGGAGAGTTCTATGTTGTCCACAAGAACATTCTTGTCTTCGAGTCTAACGACGCTGGGCTCTGGGGCGGGAGGAGGGGTTGGGTTTTTGTGCATGTGGGGCAGGCTGGTCTGGCTGATGTCCAGGTCTTTGAAAGCGTGAAGCATGAACACACCCAGGATGATAGTGACAAAGCCAGAGAGGGTGCCCACAATGTCCACGGCCGACATGCTGTGCCACTCCTTGAAGAGGACGATGGAGGAGGTTACCACCATCGAGGTGAAGAACACGTAGTAGATGGGGAACACCAGGGAGGTATTAAAGATGTCCAGCGCCTTGTTGAGGAAATTGACCTGAGTGCTGAGCGACAGTGCCAGCACGAGGGACAGGATGTAGGGGAGAGGGTGCCGCACAACTGGCAGCCCCTGGAAGAGGTTCTTAATGGTGATGCCCAGACCCTTGACGGCGGACACGGAGAAGACCCCGATCACAGAGCAGATGACGATGTAGATGAGGATATTCCTTTGTCCATAACGTGGGGCGATGACGAAGATGAGGGTGAGGCAGGACACCAGCAGAAGCACAGCAAACACGATGTACCCTTTGTGGGGGATGGAGACAGGTAACCTGACCTGGGAGGATGCCAGTAGCCTCTAGAGCCCCCCACGCATGGCAATGGGATGTCTCATTAAGAACCTAGGCTTGGGAGCTTCCCTGGGGGGCGCAGTGGTTGAGAGTCCGCCTGCCGATGCAGGGGACACGGGTTCGTGCCCCGGTCCGGGAAGATCCCACGTGCCGCGGAGCGGCTGGGCCCGTGAGCCGTGGCCGCTGAGCCTGCGCGTCCGGAGCCCGTGCTCTGCAACGGGGGAGGCCGCAACAGTGAGAGGCCCGCGTACCGCAAAAATAAATAAATAAAGAACCTAGGCTTGGGACTTCCCTGGCGGTCCAGTGGTTAGGACTCCGTGCCTCCAACGCAGGGGGTGCTGGTTTGATCCCTGGTCAGGGAACTAAGATCCCACATGCCACCTGGTGTGGCCAAAAAAGTAAAAAAGAGAACGTGGGCTCTGGAGTCAAACATGGGTCCCAGTTCCAGCAACACAACTTTTTAATAACTTGTACAAGTTATTAATTAAACCCCCAAGACCTCAGTTTCCTCTTTGTAAAACAGGATTAATATCAGGACCTTCCTCATAGGAGCTTTTTTGTAGGATTAAATTAATACACGCAATTGACGGAATGCCACCCCTCCCATTTACATGTTGAGTGCTAATCCCTAATGGGACGGTATTAGGAGGTGACGTCTTTGGGAGGTGATTCAGGCATGAGGGTAGAGCCCTCAGGAAGGGAATACTGCCCTTATAAAAGGGACTCCACAGAGCTCCTTTGCCCTCTACACCAGATGAGGACACAGCGAGAAGCTGGCCATCTATGAACAAAATCTATCGGGCCTCGATCCAGGACTTGATCGTGACCCCCGGAACTGTGGAACATAAATGTCTGTTGTTTATAAGCCACCCATTCTATGATATTCTGCTAAAACAACCTGAACTAAGACAATGCAAACAAAGCATTTAGAACAGTACCTGGCACATAAGAAATAGATAATAATAGCATCCCTACCTATCAGACTGGGGACCTGTAAGCTAGCCTCAGTACCAGCCCATCAGCTTTCCTCCCTGAGCTTGCTGCCTCCTCCTCCACGTGGCGGCACCTGAGATGGCCAGAACCCGGTCAGTCCTCTAACATGGCTCGCGCCCAGTGCCTTCCTGCTCACTGGGAGCCTGGAGCCTACCTGTGTCTTTCATCTTGGCGGCCATCTCCATGATGGTGGTGATCTTCTCTTCCTCGGGGGCGTGTATCACCATCACTGTGCTGCCGGCCACACAGATCACACAGCCCAGCTTCCCCAACAGGTTCAGACTCTCTCCCAGGAAATATGAGGAAAGGATGGCACTGCAATGTGAAAGTGGAGAAAGGGATTACAGCAGCCAGCCCAGTTCCAGCGTCCTGGAGAAAAGTGAGGGCTGAGCAAGGGCTCACTACTCTCACACGTGGAAGCTTTTCTAGACCCCTAGGAAATGTGTGAAATAGAAACATTTAGGGGAGGGTTACACTGTGGGCTGGAGGAATCGACAACATACACGTGAATTTCTTTCATTTTAGAGACTGACAATATCCCCAGAGAGAAGAGTTGGAAGAGCCCTTCAAAGCACTCTTGTCTAACTTCCTACCCAATGAGCACATCTTCTCTGAACATTGCAAACAGAAGGCTTTCAGCCTTGGCTTGTATACCTCTGGTGGCAAGCAGCTCCCTCCTTCACAAGGCAAATAAACCCACTGTAGGTTCATTCTGTTATTAACCCAAAATATGGTAGTTTCTACTCATCCCATATCTATTCCTTGAGCCATACAAAACAAATCCATTCCTTCCATTTGTATATGCCAATATAGACAACCACGGTGACACTTGGGCACACTTTACGTACTCAGATATTGTGCTAAGAACTTCCCACTTCTTATCTCACTCACATCTTGCAACTCTGAGAAGTAAAATATGTCCATTTTATAGATGAGAAAACTGAGTCCCACAGAAGCTTAAATGATGGCAAGATCATACAACTGGTAAGACACGAGCCAGGATTTGAACTCAAGTTCTGTCTAATTATAAAGCCTATGGTTTTTCCTCTACACCTCACTGAGAAGAATTCTCCTGACTTCCTTGAGTCTTTTCTGGACAAAACACCTCCAGTTCCTTGCTGTTCCTTGGTGATGTGACTTTCATTCCCGTCACATCCTCCAAATGAGCCAGCAAAGGTGAAGGAAGAAGGGTGGTGAGACAAGACAGGTATCATCGCTGGGGCATGCTTCTGTTTCTTTAAACAGGTGGCATTAGTTGAGGGCAAAAACCTATTGGCTGACCTAAGGTAACCCAATGAGCCTCATGAGTCCTGCTTAAAGGTATCAGGAAAGAGGGGATTGATGTCTATCTAACCTCCTTCGAATGTCTCCCATCTCTCCTCTAAAACTCCCAAAAACATTTTACCCACAATGCCTGTTCACCAGCGCCCGGTAGCATTAGCAAAGGCAGAGGTCACACAGTGGAGGATCCCCTGCCGCTCCCAACTTCCTGGGATGGTAATCTGTAAACTAATCAGATACGCAATACTGGTATCACAGCTACATCAGCCAACCGTGCCATGTGAGTCACGGCTCTATCTGGTTTTTGACTGCATAAATGCTGCAAAATTGTCATCAAGCTGGTAAAACAAAACAGGAAATTACAGGTACTGGGTGTGGTGGGCTAGGGACTTACCGGGGCTCCAAGGCTAGGGTGACAATCAGAGCCAGCTTCAAATGGGGCTCAGGACCCCCACAGAGGAACTGTGTTTGTAGCTTGGGAGGAACGGAGCAATGGGAAGCACACACATTTAATATCAGCTATATTTAATACCATCAAACATTTTCCAGGCAATGGGGCCCAGTGGTTAAGCACCCAGACTCTGAAATTAGACTGCCGGGGAGGGAATCCTGGCCCAGCCTCCTGGGACCTGGGTGACCTCGGCCAAGATGCTTAACCCCTCTTGGCCTCAGGTCTCCCCTCCTTTCTAATTAGTAGGGATGCTGTGAGGATTAAATGAGGGAATACATTTAGAACATTTAGCACAGAGTAAACCCTCAATATATGTTAGCTGTCGTTATTCTTCAGTGCCTTGTTCTGTACTATGCACTTTCTGCGCACCATCTCATTTAGTCCTTAAATCAATGCCTTCAGGCAGGTATTATGAACATCCCCACTTAGCAGATGGGAAATTGAGGCTTAGAGTAGTTTTAAGTGACCGGCCACGTAACTACAAAGTGGCAGAGATAAGGTTAGAACCCAGGGAGGGTTAATCTAGGGCTTGTACTTTCAACTTGTGTGCTTCTCCTATTGGGGCACCAAAACACTGACATGAGACATTCAGCCTTGCGCCAGGGGAAGCCCTTCCACCTGGTTTGGGCTTGGCCTGCCCCTTCACTGCCCAGGCAGCAAACAATCCAAGGGTGCGGAGCTCTGAACAGCACACTGCCTCTTTCTGGAAGCTGGGACTGACCCAGGTCCTTGACTGCAAGTAGCAATTGACCCCATGTGCAGTTCCGGACATCAACAAACTGAAAATAGGAAGAGACAGCAAGAGAGGTGACAACAACCTTATGAGGATACTCAGCGCTCCCAGTGGTGTGACGACTGTCGCGGGAGCAAACGCATAGGCCCCAAAGTTGGCAACTTCTCCGGCAGCCACTAGGAAATTAAGGGGGAAGAGAGGTCACAGTGGCTCTGATGCGCCATCTCCAGCCCAAATGAATCTGGGTGGAGACGGCTTCATTCAGTGTTCAACCATTCACAGAATCCTAGACCAGCATTCCTTAAAATCCCGACCCTTATGCTGTCTCCCTGCAGAATCCCATCTGAAGGTCAGGCCCAGATGATCCTGACCAAATCCTCCCATGTTCAAGACAGGGAGGTGGCCTGGAGTCCAGGGTCACATGGTACCTTCTGGTTCTTGAGGTCCCTTGGCTTCTAGCCTAGGCACGGTTAAGTGTATCTCAGGGACTGCCAATGATTGGTCTGTATCTTCCAGGTAAGCTCTAGAAAGTGTTGATTATCAAATAAAGACACAGCTACAGTTACTGATTGTCCAGGTACCAAATGGTCCACGAAGCCCTCTTTCCCAGAGGAGTTATGGATAGTCTAGATTGACAGGCAGGTGGTTAGAAAGTCAGACATTCCCAAAGGGCCTACCTCTCCCCATATGAGTTTCCAGTTTGCAGACTCCTGCAAGTGCCTCTTCTGTCTCCCTGCTCGTAGGGAATGACCTGGGTCTGCCCTTTGAAAGCAGATGATGAATGTGATAACTCTGGCTAAGACAGGGATCAAAACCTCACTTAGGGGATTACAAATCGAAAGCTGGCTAATTTTCCATCCCAAAGAATTAGGGTTTGAAAGCCAGAGAGGGTGGGTGGAAAGGAATGTGTGAATGTGAAAATGTGGGCAAACCTTAGGTGGCAGACCAGCCATGTTCTAAGTGAGCCAACGATTGCCTGTGGAATGGGGCAGCTGACTTAGGAGTCTCAGGCGGTGCCCTGCAGGAGTCCAGAAGACTCCAGCGGGCAGTCATAGCTCCCTGAATTTCAAGGGAAGTTGAGAAATTACACCTTTATCACTACCAGCTCTGTACAAACCTCTCTGGGGACAGATGCTTTATGGATGAAAGACTGACTTTGGATGGAGAAAGTGACCTGAGATGCAGGTAAAATGTTCTACCTGCAAAGACTGTTTAGATTCTCCCCTTAGAAATCTGGGCCTTGGATTCATATTTTGCACAACAGAGACAGAAATGCCCCATCCACCCCTCCTTTCATCTCTGCCTCTGTCATCAATAGGGCACTGTCCTTAGTAGCAAAGAACCCACTTACTGGTGAGAAATCCAGCCCACCACATTGCATCCTTCAGGTAGCCGTAGCCTCCGTCCACTGTAGAAAGGAATGGGCATGAAGTTAGAGGTTGGCCGTACTTTCTCAGGACCTTTCCTTCTCTACCTTCACTCGCCAGTCTCTAAGGGTTCAGTATAGGTCAGCTGTGGTGAGTCCTCCAGGTCTGCTTCTGGGCCCTGCCCTGGGTGAGTTCATCCCTTCCAAAGTTTTAAAGTCCATCTAGATACCCTATTTCGTATATGCCCCCTGATCCTTTCTTCTCAGCCCTGATGTATATCCAGTTGCTAACTTGACAACTCTTGGGTCTCGCACAGCCATCTCAAACTCTGTCCTAAATGGAACTCTTGATTTTTAAATGCTCCCTACCCACCAAATGAAGCTCAGTAAGCGGCACCTCCGTGTACCTAGTTGCTTAAGCCAGAAACCAGGGAATCACACCTGACCCTCCCACTACTCCACCTTCTGCATCCATTCCATCCTGCTGATTCTGTCTCCAAAATGCATTTCACATGTGTCCTCTCCACTGCCACCACCCAACTCCCAGGCACTATCACCTCTGGTCTGGATTGAGGCAACTGCCTCCTAGGACTCCTCTGGTTCTTCTCTTGTCCCTTATAATCCATTCCTTTCATAGTAGCCAGGAGTCTTTTTTTTTTTTTTTGCGGTACGTGGGCCTCTCACTGCTGTGGCCTCTCCCGTTGCGGAGCACAGGCTCCGGACGCGCAGGCTCAAGAGGCCATGGCTCACGGGCCCAGCCGCTCCGCGGCACGTGGGATCTTCCCGGACCGGGGCACGAACCCGCGTCCCCTGCATCGGCAGGCGGACTCCCAACCACTGCGCCACCAGGGAAGCCCAGCCAGGAGTCTTTTAAGAATTATGTCACTCCTCAGCTTCTAGCTGGCCAGTGGCTTCAAATGCTCTTAGGATAAAGACCAGAATCCCTAACAAGCCTGTTCATAGTGTTGAGCCTGCTCACTTCTCCAAAGGCATCTCCTGCCACACTTCCTACTACAGTCTAGCCGCTCAGGCTGTCTTTGAGTTCTTCAAAAATGATGAGCTCTTTTTGGCCTTAAGGCCTTTGCATGTGCTTTTCCGTGTATGGAATAGTCTTCTTAACAATATTTGCCTATATCTACACTTACTCTACAGATCTCTGCTTGAATGTTGCTTCCACTAAAATGCCCTCCCTGGTCCCCTTATCTTTATTGTTTCCTTTTGGGATTCTCTCTCGTCACACTCAGTCCTCCTCCTTAATGACACTTGTCATAATTTGAATTGATCTATTTATTTTCTGAAATTTCCCCCACTAAAATGGAAGCTCCATGTAGCCAAGGATTGTGTCTGCTTTGTTCACATGATGGACTCAGAGCCTGGCACATGGTCAACGCTCAGTAGTAGCGATGAGGAGGATGATGATTAGGGTGGGTTTTAGACAGTTTCGTGAAAATCCCAAGCTTGTATGTTGCTTTTTGTGAATGCCCATTTTTCTAAGATGGTCTTTAACTTTCATCAGGTTCCGCAAGCAGTCAGAATCTCCCATAAAAGTGCTCTGAGAGCATTTTACTCTGAGTTGAAATCTCAGAAGATATTGAAAGAGCAAGTTGGAGAAAAAATGGATTCCGGGGAAGCTGCCTTTCTGAACGGTCAATGATACTTGCTCTGTTCTCTCCTGAGTGGAAAAAGCTATTTTTCTGGCACTCTGGGAGGTCTCTGGCCTTTCAAACCCTTGTCCAGAAGAGGAGACAGAGCAGCAATGACCACTGATCCTGACTTCATGCCCACACCTCACAGCTCTCCATTTTAGAGCACACCCGGCTCTAGTCCTGGGTATCCAACTGTCTGTCAGGCTCTCCCACTTAGATCACAGTAAAACTAATACTGGTGCTTACTCCATGCTAAGCATCTTTCTAAACATACTACATACATATCTTCACAACAAGATATAGCTGGAACTATTCCTATCCCCATTTCTTCAGATGAGGAAACTGAGGCAGAAAAACTATTTTTCTTGCCCAGGATCATATCACCTGGAATTGAGGAGCTAGAATTGGAACACAAATAGTGTGCTTCCAAAGCTCAGTGTCCCATAGAACATGAAACTGAACACGTCCAAACCTGAACACATCATCTTCCTATAAACCTGCTCCTCCTGCTTTCTTTGTCTCAGAAAATAGCACCATCATCTCCCCAGTTGCTCAAAGCAGAGCGCTCTGAGTCACCTTGACTCATTTTTTCATCCTCCCCTTGGGGCCAGGCAACACCAAACCCAAACCCAGTAAGTCCTACCTTCAAAATCTATCTCTGGACTTCACCACTTGTCTCCATGCCCACTGCAATTTCCTGGCCCAAGTTCTGTTGTTTTTCTCCCCAGATTGGTCTCCCACCCTCCAGTCTTGTCTCCTAATCCACTCTGCACCCAGCAACCAGAGATCTTTTCAAATCGTAAATCGAACTATGTCACTCCCCTGCCTGAAACCTTTGTCACTTACAATTACATTCAAACTCTGGAGCCCAGTTTACAAGACATTTCATAAGCTGGCCCTCACCCCATCTCTTACCCCTCCATGCTCTAGCCAACCTGAGACAGTTTCAGCTTCTAATATCACTCATGCTCACTCACCCCTGGGCCTTTGCACATGCTGTTCTTTCTGCCTGGAATACTACTTCTTTCTCTTTTCCCCTCACCTTGTTATCTCCACATCATGTAGGTCTCAGCTTCTAAACCAACTCTTCCAGAAAACCTCCCCTACCCCTCAAGCCTGGCTTTACATGCCCCTCCAAAATATTGCCATAACATTCTTCATTTTTCCCCATGATAGCATTTAACATGCTACAGAACAACTGTTTATCGATTTGCCTGTCTCTTCCACTCAACTCAATGCCCCACAAGGGCACTGTGTCCCCAGGTCTAGCACGGCACCTGGCACACAGCTGGTACACAATGAATGATTATTAAATGAACAAATTTTTTAACATAGGATTCCTTTTCTCAACAATCGTTTCATGGATACACGTCTTATTTTTCAAACAAGCAAATCCCTGTGGACGGAGACTCAGTAATTCTTTTGTAGCCTATAAAGGAGCTCAGATTGATAGTACGTGAGGATGCACCAGTGTCTGACACTGTTCTGGGCAAAGGTATTATATTCCCATTTTGTAGGG